CTAGGATTGTTATTACTTGAAGCTACTCGTAGCCACAATATTTTTCTGAAAAATCCATCTATAGCTCCGTGGATTGCATAACCAAATAGCTTCAATTTATCATATTTGCCATATAAAACTGGGTCTTGGAACTATTTATTTACATCGCTTTAGCCTCCTACGTGACCTTGCCTCAACACCTTCCGGATCAGCTATCCTTAGTATTTCCAAAACAGTATTCCTTTTCACTTGGATACTATATATCAGTTTTAACCTCCTCCATAACGATATGTATCCTAGGCAGGTTCCATCTTCAATTTCTTCTAACACCCCAAAAACCACATCCTCTATGGGTGATTCTTTAACATTTTTTCGTTTCAGATTCAATTTTTTCAATATTATTTGTAACTGCCTAACAGAAATGCATAAATTATGGTGAAAGAACAAAAAAAGCACGGTTTCAGGCTGTGTGTAACCCTCTGTGAAATATTTCTTGAATAAATTATTACGAAACCACCGCATTGCTACCAATCATTGATTCTAATTTAATTACTACTCTATTAACATATATACATGGATAGAAAAAAGTAATAGAAAACCAGCCATTCATTATATTTCAAATTACGCATACCAATGCGACATAATATCTCTGTACGTTGCTCAAGTGACGTAATATCTCTGTACGTTCCACAAGTGACGTCACATATCTGTAACAGTGTATCAGTAGCATTGTATGTCGTGACCGGGCCTCCGTAATAAACCAAAGGCTGCCAGCTATATGAAGGGGTCAGTGTCAAGGCTATGGAGTCTCATCAAAGAGATCAAGCTAGACAATGAACTCTAACAACCAAGGAGCATCATAATAAGAGATCTGAAAAGGTCGCAGTAACTCAGGCTATGGGTTAGCTCCCCGACAATCTAATCTTATCATTCAAAGAGGACTATTGTAGTTGTTCACACCAAATATTACTGTGAACCGACAAAACTGATATGAATATTCATTATTGCTTCAGACACTAATAGGTACTTTCAAAACTTTTATAAAATCAGACGTTACCTAAAAAAAATTGAAATCCACGTTTCTCTTGATATTCCGTTTTGTGTATTATTTACAGTGAAGACACGCCTGAAGAAGCTATTGTATAGCCGAAACACGTGCTGTTTTTTTAAAACTATGTAGTGAAAATCCCACAATGAAGTGTCTCTTGAATTAATTTAATTCAACGTGATCTTTAGCATCAGTGTTAATGGTTTTAACTTGCGTAATCTTCTGAATATATTTCCAATCTACAGAATCTTCTCTGTGATTTTCTCAAAAAAATTATGAAACAATTTCAACGAACCTTTTTCCTGATGTACGAAAAATCACTCACTAGCAGCGCTGGTAGTTCGGTAGGGACAAACACTGCCTAATCCTCATATAAAACTTTTTGTGAAGGAGTCTGTTTTTACTGTTTTTTGAGTCCACAATCTAAAAAAATAAATGAAGCTGAATCAATAGAGAATCTGCTGAAGTGTCAAAGGTCAAACTGAAAAGTTCCAATTGGAAAGTCATTGTGTAATATAAGCTACTGAAAAGTCCAATTAGTCAGTAACTTGCCGTATTCATAAATTTTCAGATGGTTGACATTTTGGAAAAGGATCATTTTCCATTACCGTCATCAAAACCAAAAAAAATCACTTGTGGATAACGCCTCAATTGCAAACAGCTATATTTCCTTATTAGGATTATTTTCCGAAACGTTGACCATCCAAGATATCTTGAGAACTTTAATAGAATTATTCAAATGATTGAGATCCTTTGATCTGGTATAGATAGAGCAAAACTTTAGTCAAATATTGGTGGGAGAGAGTAGATTGATCTTGTCTGCTTGAATTTATCGTAACATGTCCCCTTATGAAGTTTCCCAACATTCTACTCTCCTTTATTAATCTTGATCAAACTGCCTATGATCATATTATCTTCGTCAATCTATTGAATATCAGAAGGAGAAAAAAAAAAATCGAATCTCTTATGTCATTTGCCATTTGAAGCAATTAGTAGGGCATTTTTGACCGCATATTTTTTAGTCTAATAAAAAGAAATTCTAATTATAAAAGTACGTAACAAGTTTTTTTGTACTGTGAAAATGAAATAATCATAAGGGTTGAATGCTATGAAGATATTAATTCTATTATTCAAAAAAAATGAATAAGAAAATCTATTTAAAAAATNTTCTATTATTCGAAACAAATGAATAACAAAATCTATTTAAAAAATGTGTTTTTCCATCAACTAGATGTCGCCCCCTCAAGAAAGACACTCTAGAAGTCGATATTTGTGCGAGTTAAGGATTAACGAAGTCTTACCTTCTAACATACAAATATGAAATGTATTCTTAGAAGATGCTCAAATGCAACTCTTTTCTTTGTTTTTCTGACCATTACTTAACTGCCGCTCATATTACACTACCTATACCTAACTACTATAGTTTTGTACTTAAATACTTAACCTTAATACAGTGCTCCAAAGTGGAAAAGTTCAAAAGTATATCTGGGTACACAATCGATCCTCTGATGTTAAAGCTTAAATGCACATAACCACAGAAATTTGTTTTGTATTTTCTCAGTCCTAGAAATATCTGTATGATGTAGAGGACTCCATATTCTGCAATTACATTTTAAGATTGAATTTGAAATACTTGGATACAATGTGATCATGACATGTAAAGTTTACCTTAGTATCAAACAATACTCCCAAGTCCCGAACGCTATTGGTCAACATCAATCAATCAATCAATTGATGAAACCAGAGTCCAAAAACAACAGTTATGATTCAACACCATAACATCGCCTGAACTTTATCAGATTGGTTTTGATTTAATAAGAATATTCAGTAGGGTTCACAATTCTTGAAAGTTATAACATTCATTTATATCACATCAAAAAGATTAAACGGTTAAGTCTAACTGTACAGTTCTGCAGTTCTGTACAGTAAAATTTAAACATCAAATGATGTTCATACTCTTAACAAAGTATTGGTCCTATATGAGATCCTGGAAGAACTCCAGATGATATAGAACATTGTGTTGATATGGAACGAGAATTTTTAACAAACTGAATTATATTCATTAAATAATTCCATGAGAAGATCATGGTTAACGCTGTTAAAATCTTTAGAGAAGACCATATAAGCAGAGTTGATTTTATATTTTCTCTCAATATCGTAAACAAGATTTTGATAAGTCAATAAGTCGATCTACCAGATGAAAAGCCACGTTAGTGTTCAATAATTGTTTTCTGTGAAGAAGTCTACTTAAGAAGTAGAAGTCCTTGACATTAGTTAAGGAAGACATTCTGTACAATATTACCAGACCATATTTGAATTTATTATAAGTAACTGCTTTATAATATCCGGCGGTGTGTTGTTAGGTCCTGGACCCTTATTCTTCTTGAGTTTTTTGTCAGCTCCTAGTATTTTCTTCCTAATAATGTTTTTTAATACAGCGTTTCTATCACAGATGAAATTAACTGATTGGTACCCCAGAACTAAGTGATTTACGGTGTTTTCTAATGTCTTGGCTTCCAGTCACGATCTTGTACCCGTCTCTCTCAATATCTACTTTATCACATTTAAACGTTCTCATTGCAGTTGACTGGATTTCTGTGTTTTTCTAAAGAACTTTCTTACTCTTGTTATACTTTTCCCATGTGTCCATCTTTCTATTATCTATAAAATGCTACATTCTCTTGAGTTGTAAAATTTGTCCTTGAGTCAACAAGTCCCTCCGAAGTCCAAGGCCATAGTCACAGCGTCATTGGTGTTCTGTTATTTGTGGAGAATTCACACTGAAACTTTACTTGTGGTTCATGAAGAAGTATTCGCAGAAAATCACATAAGTCAGCTCCTGTGTCGATAAGGAATGACATATTTGTACCGACATCAGGAACAAATATGTAGTTTGACGTAGGGCTCGCATCGTCGTCGTCGCATCTAGGAGAGGCAATACCATTGCTACTGATGAGCTCATATCTAATGTTATGTTTCTAATTGTTTGATTCTATGTTGGCTGAATATGTTCTACTCATAAAATGTCATAGATTGATTTCATGAAAAGTTAATAATATTTATTTGTTTAATTATAGGAAAAATCTACAAAATTGATAACAATTTCTGTAGCAGCCTTCATCTGTTATTGTAACACTTTGATGGGATCTTTTGTTTTTGATGATAATGAGGCTATTGTGAAAAACAAAGATGTGCTGCCGAATACCCCTATTCAAAACATATTCAGGAATGATTTTTGGGGTACAGATATCACTCTCAATAGCAGTCACAAATCTTACAGACCCCTAACTATATTGTCTTACAGGTAAATCTTATATAAACAAAAAGTAGGTTCAATAAAAAACTTTTTTCAGATTAAATGTATTGTATTCTAATAATAAATTGGATGCTTTCCAATTTCATGCCACAAATGTGATTCTGTATGGATTATTATGTCTACTAACAGTACCAGTTTTTGAACTGTTTCTCAAAAAATCTAAATATGCAACAAATATACACGACATTGCATACTACTCCAGTTTACTATTCACTGTTCATCCAATACACACTGAAGCTGTTGCTGGACTAGTAGGAAGGGCTGATATATTGAGTTCAGTACTTTTTTTTATGGTCATTTTACTATACCAGAAGATTCGCACTTCAAGAGGAGAGGCAGTCATACTTTGGTATATTATTACCGGACTTCTTACATTTTGTGCTGTTCTATGTAAAGAAACTGCCATCTCAGTTTTGGTGAGTGACATTAAAAAATATTTTGAAGACAAAAGTTCATAGTTTATTATTATTTTTTTAAATTATTTCAAATCATTTGCAGAAAACTGCAAACAAAAAATGAAATTGAATAATTTTCTATTGAAAACACTTTCCCAAAACCAGAACAAAAATACAGTCTCTGGACGCGCGTTTCGCCAACTAACTTAGCGAGAAAATTATTATGAGTCATAATAACTCAGTCATAATGAGTCATAATAACTCAGTCATAATTTCTTTATTTTTTCCATAACTTGTGTTTTTTAGTGTTTAGACAATATACTATTGATGTGCTGTATTTCATAACCTTCTTGTACATTTTTAATTTTTAGGGTATTTTGATAATATATGATATTTATCGTGAAAAAAGGAGATCCATTATGTGGTATCAGCTATTTAATTTTCCTTTAATATTACGAGCCTTGAAGTTGCTTGTTCTTGGATTGGTAATCATGTTCTACCGTTTCAAAGTCATGAATTTTGAAGGTCCAATATTTACAAGTATCGATAATCCAGCGGCTTATGCTCAAAGTATTTTTACTCGTGTAAGTTATGAAAAATATATTTCAATAATGAATTTATTATTTTATATTTTACAGGTTTTTACTCATAATTACATATATTTGTTAAATTTTTTGTTATTAGTTTGGCCACAATGGTTGTGTTTTGATTGGTCAATGGGATGTATACCACTAATAGAAACAATGTGTGATATCCGAGCGATTATTGTAATGATAATGTGGTTTGTAGGACTGTATGCAGTGTTTACGTTGCTGAGGAAAAATTATCAAAATGAAATTTTGTAAGTATTTCTTTGAAATGTGGGGAAAGGAATGTATTCACCATTTGGCGAAAATATTTCAATTCTATGAACCTTGCATATTCGATAAATAGTATCAGACAATCAAATATTCAAGATCTGTTAGTGAATTCAAAGTTTTTTATTATTATCAGGTAAATTTTTTCTAGACGATTGAATAAGCAAAACAAGAATCAACGAATGATTTAGAAGTTTTTCAGATTCATCATAAGCTTGTTCATAGTACTTTAATTTTTCTATTTCACAGTCATTTTGTACATACCTACTTTTCAATTATAAATCAACTAGTTATCACTTATACATGTTTCACTTCTTGTCAATAATTTATATGTTTAATTCATTGTTTTAGACTCATTTTTACTGCCCTGAAGAAGCTTCCCATTAGAACCGAAAGCTTGGCAAAATAAAGTAGAGTTTTGATTTTGATTTTTGACTGAGAGACGCCGTTAATCCATTTTTCTTTTTCTATACAATACAACTAGTTTTCCTTTATTTTCATACAATAATTAGAAGATATTAAAGCTTCAAATCATGTGCGTAAAATTAATCTTTTTCAACATCAGAATAAAAATATGGTTTCTCGACGCGCGTTTTGCCAACTAAGTTAGCGTCCTGACTTGAGTCATAATGATCTCCTAAGGAAGCTAACTTAGTTGGCGACACGCGCTGGTGTTTGGAAAGTGTTTTCAATAGAAATTACAATTCATTAATTTTCAACTGAATGGAAAAGACTGCCCATGATGAGTTTTATATTCAAGTAAAAATTAGATATATACAAGTAGAAGATACCTTAGGTCTTAGGTGTTCAACAACTGGAATTTCATGATCATTATGTTCTATTATACTTGTGATGCACTGTTTGGAATCTTTGGTGTAGTAAAGAATATTACTGGAGTTTTATCCCACCACCAAACCGTTATTTTAACACCTCGACACGTGTTTCGATTACCAAGTGATCATCTTGAAGAGGAAGATTATCTTCAAGATGATCACTTGGTGATCAAAACACGTGTGGAGGTGTCAAATAACGGTTTGGTGTTGGGATAAAACTCCTGTGATATTCATGTTCTGTTATGTTTTCAGAGATGCACGAATAATGGGTGTTTGTCTTATTGTTCTACCATTTTTACCTGCAGCAAATTTGTTTTTTCCTGTGGGTTTCGTTATAGCAGAAAGAACACTGTTATTGCCTAGTGCAGGATTTTGCCTTCTAGTCGTTATAGGATTGAAAAAATTACAGAGAAAGGATGATAATAAGAAGGTAGCAAATTGTTAAGTGGGTGTGCATCTTATGATATTTCAAAAGAATTGTATTTCAGATGTACCTGATTTTGCTACACATCTTACTCATAATATTTACTTTTCAAACGATTTTAAGGAACATGAATTGGCTCACAGAAGAAAAACTCTTTACGTCTGCTCTGGAAGTGTGTCCGTTGAATGCAAAGGTTCATTACAACGTAGCAAAAATAGCAGCTGACAATAACAATAAAATTTTGGCTATTTACGAGTATGAGAAAGCTATTGAACTGTATCCCAACTATGAACAAGCAATGAATAACTTGGCTAATCTACTAAGAGAAAACAAACAATTCAAAGACGCAGAACTATTACTGAGGAAAGCCATAACTATAAGGTGAATTACATATTAATTTTCTTACTCTGTGGAATATTTATTTATTTATTGCATGGGATCACCTCTTTTATAATAGTACAAGCATCAAATTTAATAAATATTCATATACAATTTGAAAATTATAGAAAATACTGAAAATGTAAAAGTAACACTAATGTTTTTCTTTATTCGTACTATTACATTTACATATCTCAATTCTATCAATCAGAAAATAAATAAAGTAAAATAATAGATAAGGCAAAATTGTAAAATTAATTTAGGTTGGTATACCTGTATAGGTAGTACGCCTGGATGGTTTACCTGTATGGGATACCTACCTATATAGCATAAATAGGATTAGCTCGCATTAGTTTCAATCTTCCTCTTTGAATGTGATCACTTGGTGATTGAAACACGTGTCGAGTTGTTAAAAATAACGATTTGATGTGGGGAAAAATCTCCAGTAATATTCACATTAGAATAATTACATCAGAATAATTACATCTGCTGATTATATTATGAGAAACACCTCATGCAAGTCTATAACATACTCTCCTTGTAGCTGTAAAGCTTTCTAGTGTTTTTAATGGAATAGTTCTGGATATAAAAACCCATTAACTCTGGTGCTGATTTCTCCACATTATATTAATCAGGAAAGCAGCAGATATTTCATTTATTCATGAAATTCATGCTGTTTCACTAGTAGTTATTTTTGTTCAATATAATATATTCTTCAAGTTTAAGACCTTATCACTTTTCAAAAGGCCCAACTTTGCTGCAGCCTGGATGAATCTTGGAATAGTACTGACGAATTTAAATAAACCAGAAGAGGCAGAACACTGTTACAAAATGGCTATTAATCACCGAAACAAATACCCTGACTGTTATTACAATTTGGGAAACTTGGTAAATACTTTTGACTAATAGTTTAGATACGAAGGTAACAAGTACTTGCTTATCAATTGATTTCTATGCAAAAATGTTATATCTACTCTGATTATTGTATGAGAATTTGAGTACCTAAAACATTTAATACGAAAATAATTACTCTGAAAATGAGCGCTGTTTTGATGGCGTGTCTGTCAGTAGTATATTGGCATTGTTTATTATTATACGCTATTCGTGTCAAACAAGACAAAGCCTACTACTGTCACATATTCACATGTGGTAAAAGTTGTTTTATAGTAATGAAAGTTATTGGCTGGTAGAACTCAGTAAAACATTTTTTGAAATTGTCAATTTTTAAGTTGTAATTCTTGTTGTTTGTTATTGAGAAAGCTTTCAAGTGAAATCCTGCAATCACTAAGCTATTGAAAAAAAATATGGGGATAGCTGCTGCTCACATAGGGGTGACTTTTCCAATACGAATTTATTAAAATTATGCTCCCTTGAAACAAAAATTGAGTTGTTCTTGAAATTTTTGAAAAATCGTCTGTGTGTGCATGGGTTGGATATCTTGTATATAAAACAATGTCAATATAAAATGAATTTTCAGTCATTTAATTTCCAAAGGTGAAATCATAACGGCTGGATTCTGTCTGCTCAATACAAAAATATTTGATGAAAGGTTTTGAAATATTGGAGACTATGATAGGGTCTGAATTGGAAAACAATGTTCAAGATAATGTTCTAATTGTTTGGTCAGATTTCAATCATGATCCTACTGGACTTTAACCTTCCTATATTCTTGTTGTGTTCATGAACATTAGGTTCTGGCTTAAAGAGAACAAAATCCGTTTTAGTAGGCCGTGGTCTAATGAAACCTAAAGTTTCATTAGACCAAGTGGATGCTTTCGAAAGTCTAGAATTTGCAAAGTGTGGCACGATGAACCGTGAGAAAGATACTATTCCAAACAGTCCATTGTTTCGAAGAATATAAACTTTTACGGCCTTAGATAACTGTATGAAAGCTATTTTCTGGGTTTTCTGGCCGTGGTGTGCAAGTTTTTATGCCTGACGATTCGTTTACTGCAGACCACGGCCAGAAAACCCAGAAAAAGGCTTTCATACAGTCCATTGTTTATCATTATATGACTCCCTTTGTTAAAATTAGCGGAAACTTTCACGATAACATTTTTAGTGACAGACAAAAAATGTCTTTCTCATAATCTTCTTCCCCATCATTGAACATATTTTCTTGACTTCTTTCATTATCTGATTCAAATGATATAGCACTCCCTCAAAGGAGAAAGTCATTCTACAAATCCAAAAATATCGTGATTACATTTATAGAAGAATCACTATGCGCCAAAAATAATGGAAATAGTTTGGCTGTATTACTTGCGCAGGACTCACACTTCACAATTAGAGACAAAAATGTGACAAAGATACTCACGCCGAAGTCTCAGTTGATATTTTCGCAGTTCGACTTTTTTGTTAATTTCCTGAAGTAAGTCGGTACGGAGCATGAGTCGCGCGTGAGTAACGGAAATTTAAAAACTCAAATTATCTGACATCCACAAAACACGTTCAAATAAAACATTAATGAGTTAAAACTGTTGAACAAAATCTTCATGAAAAGTATTTATCCAAAATCTAATAATCTTTTTGAAAAAGTATTTAGATTTGAAAAGACCGGAGGAAGCATTGAAGGCATGGGAAATGACATGTTGATTTCCAAAATTCAAGCAATTAGGAATCACACGTTGAAAGGTAAGACCTCGTTAGTCCTTAGCTCGCACAAGTTTCTCAACTTCTGAGAGTTGTCGTTGGTATGGGGGCGACAGCTGATTAACGGAAAAACATATTTCAAACAGATTTTTAAACAATTTTTTTCGAAACAAATGTTTCTCGAAGAGAAGAAAGAAGTAGCTAAGGTTTCGTATCAATTGCGCACACAATACGTTTTCTCTTGCTACTTGTAACCATTTCAGAATTGCAACTCCCATGTTATTGCCTGATTCAAGTTTTATTTTGATCAATACAGAAAGACAGGAATACTTAGTGGTGAATATTTTAAGAAAAATGAGTATGTTTCTGTACTAAACTACAAATTTACATTTTTTTATGTACTAACTTCAATGAAGAATAAAATTCTATTCTATACACTGCACCATGATTACATTACTGTTATGTTAAATTTACGAGTCTGTACATGTTATATAAGGGTGTTTCCATATTAAATAGGTTACATTGTCATGAATTAAACCGAATTTTTTATTATCCTATATATGAATATGAATCTTTTAACATTTAGGAAGGGGGGATGGCTCTGGACACGTTTAGTTATATATACTACTGTAATGTGCTAACCAACAGATGCTTGTTTCAGCATTTGTCTTTAGTGGACCGCCAAGCCCAGCACATATAATGGCTGGTCTTCCACCAAAACAAAGGCCTAAACAGTTAGGTACCTCTCTTTTGGAAAATTGCCGATGGTCTGAAATTCTATTCATTTTGTTGTAACTCGAATTAATTTTCATTATAGTTGTCTATGTCACTTCGCCAAATCCAGAATTTTGTTTTCTTGTGAAGGATAACAAGGAGAGGTTAATGTTTTGAATTTTATTTGAAATATTCATATCCCTAGTATTATTATCTCTCATCAACAGTCATTTAGACTGCTTTAATGACACTCGTATTTTGTTTCTTTTTCAGGTGTTTTGTATCATCGTTGGGGTAAAGCAGAACTTGCTCGGGAAATGTATAAGAAGGCCCTACAAATCGATCCAAACCTAAAATCTACCGAACTCAATCTCAAAAAACTTTCTGTGGCTCATTGACGGCAATAAAAAAAAGAATAATCATTTCTTTCTCAATGTATATAATTATATTATTTATTGAAAACTTTTTCATACCGCATTTTTTCATTTCCAAATAATTTATCAAAACCCATCATTATAAAAAAAAATCCGAAAAATTCAATATGAGTAGTACAAATAAATAATCACTTTAAAAAAAACTACTCGTACTTTGAAAATTACTTCAACGTCAATTTTTTTGGTAACCATTATCCCTTATGGTTGCCATCTAATCGGACTTGACAATACTGCCACCATTTCATAATCAAAGAATAGTTAACACTAAATAGTATATAACACTTCAACATCATTCTTCATCATGACAATGCCAACTACCACAAGCAATTGGTTATTATTTGAAGGTGAAAAACATCAAATCGGTAACTCATATTTTCTGTATTTTCCTAATTTATTGAGTTGCTATCTCATTTCCTTAAGACAAACCTAAAATGCGTGAACGCGATTTTAATTATCCAAGCTTTCTAAAACCATGTTTTTGATATGTAAACTTCACAGAGTGGAAAAATTATTCTGAGAATTGGTTTGAATTTATTCAAACCAATTATTTTTGTTCTAAAAACTGGTTTTTCTATACTTTGTAATGACAAAAGGTCCATCGATTACTAATTTTGAAAACATTGTTCAAGAATTTCAAATAACAGTTAAAACTGGAACCCCTTGCATAGAATAAATCCATATCGATGGACGGAAAACTGCAGTTCTGGTGATTGTGAGAAGTGCTTCTTTTGGATTCAAGAATTTTGTGAAGAGCTGGAAGAAAGTTTAATTTTCTATGTTTTTTTGCAATATTTATTAGATAATAAAAATATTATATTTGACAAATATGCAATTGAACACCAAGCCATATTTTCATTTGAGATAATTTAAGCAGTTACTTTTATAGCAATTAATTTTGTTATAAATAAAACGGGAGACAGTTTTTCGAAATAACAACGTTGATCAACGTTCAATGTTTAAACTGAATAAACATTGATACCCAAGTAACAAACCAGTTAATTTAACTTCTTGTACAGTTCAGGAATTGTTTGTTTTCTTCTGTCGTTAAGTATGAGTAGTTTTCCTTCCTATAAATTTTAAAACTTCAAAATCAACCTAGGTGTAATTTCTCCACTGAAAATGAAGGCTAGTTTCTTTCCTTCCAGGATTGCCATTTTGATCAATTTTGTGATAAGTGTATTATTATTGGACACCTCTTATTTACAACTCAAAATACTTCATAAGGTTATGTTGAACATGAGTTCGATTCAAAACATTCATGTCTATATTGCAAGTGAAACTCTGGCATCAGTTATGTATGAAAAGCGCCATTATTTCAACAATTCGAAAACTCAATTTTAATGACTTTCATGCTCTAATACCAGACTTGGCAAGAATTTGAAGATGATATATAAATAATATTCAGTGAGTGAAAAGTACATTAAATTCGAATAAACAATACATCATAATACTATACACACACGTTAGATTCCACTATAATAATTTAAAATAATATTCAACTATTTACAATAAATATGAGATGGGCTTGATTCCTGTGATAACTACATCTCTATCAGAATTCATGAATCATTCCTCAAATATGGAAAGTGCTTCCTGAATCAAATTCAACATATGTTTGGTTGAAAAATATATATTTCTCAGATATTCCAATTTAGTTCATTGACTATGTATTGTGTTTTCTTGTATTGAAATATTGAGTATTCTAAGTTACGAGATTACGTTCCTTTAGGAGAAACACTTTACACAAAACTAATTTAGTTCTTCTTTTAATTCCTCTAAACGAATAAAGAAGAGTTACTTGAACATCCCATTTCCTGAAAAATAACCCTTTCAGCTCTTACTTGTCCCTGGTTGATGTCTTTTGTCCTCTGACGACTTATCATTTGTTGAAAGTCCTTGAAGTTTCGATGGTAAGTCAGAACTGGTGACAAGAGCATGTTGTCCTAAACAAATTAATTTCATTTATTTGAAATATTACTACAATGTTTCTTGAAACATCAGTATAAGAACATACGACTTTCACTGCTGAAGTCACAATTAGAAAGGACAAAATCTGGGCCGGTAGGCTATTGTTGAAAGAGACTTGTAGTACCAAATGTTTTTTCTGCTGCAGAAGACATCTTCAGGGTTTAGGAGTTCACCACTGAAGATATTAGTGCGGGATCCCTCGCCCTTTTTCGTTATTTATTACTAAAAAGCCAATTTTCCGTGAGTAGCTTCATTTTGACGACACGCCCAATATTTGCCAGTACAAAAATTTCGTAAGTTGTAGCTAACAGGGGTAATAAGAACGTAATTTGTTGATTTGGCGGTTGTCAAAAATTCATTACTAACTGTCTTTTTTTCATATAATTCTGAAAATGATTATCTGAATTACCCAAAAAAATATTTGTCCTACAAAATGCTNATAAATATCAACTAACTGACCAAATAAAATTCAGCTGGTTAGTAATTATATTTCATGTCTTTGTAAATAGTACATGTTGCAAAGGGGGGACCTCTTTGATCAAATCGAGCATTTTGTAGGACAAATATTTTTTCGGCTAATTCAGATAATCATTTTCAGAATTATATGAATATGAAAAAAAAAAAAACAGTAATGAATTTTTTGACAACCGCCAAATCAACAAATTACGTTCTTATTACCTCTGTTAGCTACCACTTACCAATTTTTTGTTGTACTGGCAAATACTGGGCGTCTCGTCAAAATGAAGCTACTCACGGAAAATCAGCTTGTTAGTAATAAATAACGAAAAAGGGCGAGGGATCCCGTACTATATCTGCCGCAGTAGTGGACAAAATGGTATTGTAGTACTAGAATATCACCTAACTTGGACCACTCTCCATTTTGAAATTCTGAATACCAACCTGTACTTTTTGTAGCAATGTGGGTTTACAGAATGTTGAGAAATAAAATGAAAGTTCAAATTAAACTCACAAGGTTCAATACTAGGTTCTATCCTATTTCTCCTTCGCATTAACCACTTAACAACTTTTGTTTGAAGGTGGTTGACAATGTTTCATGGTGAATTTCATTAGTTCTCACTTCCATTGTCTAATATGATATAAAAAATAATTTTATATGATATTAGACAATGAAAGTCCGAACTAATGAAATTCACTCAACAACTATTGATACAAGGAGTAAATTTACTTTATTTGCAGAGTGACACCACAATATTATAACATAAAAGAACTACAGAATTTTACAATGCCATTTTCTCAGATAGCAAAAAAATCATGAATTGGTGTAATGCAAATATCAATATATTATTTCTCAATTATGAATGATTTTTTTTTAATAGTCCTAATATACATATAATTGAAAAAAAACAAATTAAAATATTACTAACATGTACATAGGCCCGTGAATATAAATTGATATATAATGATAATGTAATATAATATTGGAATAAATATTAGTGATTAGATCATGTATGCATAACAAGAATAGTTTTAAATTCATTAATTGTTTTCGCATCTTTTATGTGATTGGGTAGTTCATTGTATTCTTTCAAACTCTTATAAAATAATGATTTCATTGACTTAGTAAGATTGTATTTTGCTAAGTGAAGTTGTTGTCCTCTATTCCCTCTTGTTGGATGATTATTAATTTGAGATTTAAAGACAATAAAATCATTAAAGTATTCTGGCATCAACTTATTAAAGACTTTAAAAATGAAAATCATAGATGTCAAGTATAATCTCTGTGATAGTGATAACCATTTTAATGAGTCCAATATGAAAATAATATTTGTTTATCGGTTACGCCTTGAAATTATTTGTATTCCTTGATTCTGCAATTTCTGTAGACTTAAAATGGGCATTGAAATAAATAGTGTTACCTAGCATGAA